TCTGCTTCTATTATCTTGATGAAAATTGTTTATTTTCTCTGTATGCTCATCCAAATACTTATAAACAAATCAATCAGATCAATTAATATCAATTAATTTGAATTTTAATCAACAATACTTCAATAAATTGAACAAATTTATTTCAAGATAATACGCGCAATTTTTGCTAACTGGGTTTGAGAACATAAGTAAGCGAACGGGAACATAACTTGCGATACTGCACCCAATGATAGGCTACCATTCATACATACACGTATAGTGAAAAGTATTCGTCTCATGTTGCTTGATTGACATTTTTTGAATGTAATCAAAATATCAAGCCAATTCAAAATGAAATATTGTTGCTCATTGAGCATAAATTATAAAAAATTATTACATTTTTTTTCAGAAACTTTTTAATGAAGCACAATAATGACACTTGACTTGTTTTTTGAAAATGTATACTATTTTGGAAAAACCCTTAATTAAACTTTCTTATAAATTTATCGAGAAATGAAATAAAACAATTCCGATCTGTTCATCCTCAAATAAAAGTTTTTTCAAACTTTTGAGCATATGGTAATTTATCAGACTTCTATGGAATACATGTTTCCACTTAATGGTAATATTATCAGTGGATAAAACAGGCAATTAGTGAGATATCTTTCTTACCGACAATTTTTTACTAGTTACTATTTCTGAATAATAAATTTTTTCCAGTAATTTTTAGTATTTCACTCAAATACTACTAGTAACTTAATATTAATCCGAAACTATTCATAGTAGATATAAAGAAGACAAAATTTTCAAAAAATCAAAACAAGATTTATCTCGATACGATATACGTGGAAGTAGATAGAAGTATTTAAAAAGTGACAAAATTGCAATCAAATTTTTTGTTGCGATAATTTTGTTGTGGAGTGTTTTTATAATTAAATATAATAATATTAAAAAAAAAAATGATTTTAATTTAATTCTAATATATACGAAGCTGGAAGGACTCATCTCCAAGTATCTCAAATTGTAATCACGGCAATTTTGATATTTATTTGACGCTAACAAAGTCTTCTTACTTAAAAATTATTAACAATTTGGAAATTTTAAGAAGAAATAGTATTTATAAAAAAATATAAAAATAATAAAAATATAAATATAAAATGATAAAATTATAAATATGAAATAATTTTGATAACACACAGTGCGTAAAAAATGGTTTTTCTAACCTTTTTACGTACGAAATTAAAAAAAATATGGTAAGCAACTAGTGTGTGAGAAGGATGACTCACCCAGGAGTCTTTTCATCCAAAATACTATTTTTGGGCGCACGTAAAAAACTACAGACATTCCAGGTAAAAGACGTTTGTTGAAAAAAATTAAAAAAGGGCAAAAAAAAGGGTTAATTAATAATTAAGTTAACATATTCAATGGTTAACAGTAAAAAAATGTATAAAAGCAAAACTGTCTTTGCAAAATTTTTAGCTTAGAGTGCTATTAATTTATATTTCCCAGCAAATTTTTACTTATCATCGATTGATAGTTTATATAAATTTAAATTCCAAGAGCTCTTCGGCGAGAATCAGCGTTTTGCACATTATTATATTTTCATTCGCCAGACCGGTTGCACGAGCAAAACAATCTTTTTTTCCATCGATTTCGAAGCGCATACACGTGTCGTGGTAAAGTATCGTGTAACGCCGCGACCAATGGCTTGTGTAATAATTCGATGCAACATGTGCCAGGGTAATTACAAATTAATATATAATGCCATCTCGGCCTTCGCTCGCTGCAGTCTATCTCGCGCGGATGCTCAACTAAAACAAGGGGGTGTGTCAGTCTATGTTATAGTTTGTCGTCGGCGTCGTTCGAGGCACGCGGCGCAACGATACAAAACACGCCTCGTTGTGTATACACATACTTGTTGGGCTGCGGCACACAATGCGATGAAAGCCCACACTGTAAGCGTTTGCAAAAAAAATGAGAAAGAAAAAGAAAACGCGCACGCGTCGAGCCGCGGAAGCAGTTGCAGCAGCGGCGCCGGCACGTGACCGACCAATCGAAATCTAATAACGCAAACAGCGGCCACAATGCACGTAATATCAAACGTATGTGTGTGTATACAGCACGCGACCGATCTTTCGTTCTCTCGAAACGGGACACCATGTGAAACATGTGTGTAAGATCTCTTTTATGCATATTATATTATGCAGCGATGTATTCGCGCGCTGCCATTTCTCATTTATTTATGCAAAGAGGAGAAAATCTGCGCGAATTTGTTTGCTCGACGTATATAGTATCCAATTTTGATGGCACGCGTGTACCGCAATCGATGCATTATAGATGCGCTTCATATTTTTTTTCTGCTTCTAGACTCGTTTTGGATCGAGGATTTTTTTACAGTTGATGTTCGGTTTGGAAAGGAAACAATAAAAAGCACATGTATTTTTTTTCGTTTAATTCCCCAAAATGTATCAGTTTTTCTTTCTTTATTTTTTTATACATTAACAAGAATCGTTTTTGTTTATACTGCTTGAAGGATTGAAAAATCGACTACATACTTTGTGTGTATTTTTGTGCGTAGATATAGTAGTTGTGAACGATTAAGAAACTGTAAACTGTTATTACTCCCAAAAATTAAACATTCGGAGAAAAAGAAGCTCGACATTTTTTTCAGGCATTGATCTCGCTCAAACAAATTCGATTGTACAAATGAAACGATCAGACAATGAGAATTGAAAGCAGGGAATCGATGCATCCATTATTTGTGTAATTATCATGTCGAGCGTTCAATCGACTCATTTCGTATACTTTTTTTTTTTTTATTGAAGGTTTGTCAATGTCGGAAGAGATGCGACATACATCAGACTAATTATTTTAACACAGCGATCGTACGTTTTCGGTATCTTCCAACAATTAAAAAAGATTTTATTAAATAAAATATTTTCCTCGAAAATTTTTCGATACATTAGTTACAAATGAAATTTCATAGTTAAGTACTTTGATAAAATTACATGAGCTATGAGTAGTATAAATGTTCTATCCTTATTATTTACATCTATTTGAAGGTAAATCATACCTAATTTATGATAATTTAAAAATTTTTATGATAATTGCAAGTTTGCGCTCTCTACGTACATAGAGATGTGTCGCGTCGTTACGCGCGTTATAATGATAAAAGAAAATTCGCAACCTATACATTATTACAATATAAACGGATGCTTGGCCATATAATATTTATAAAGTATTTGTTTTTGTACATCGCAACAATATTTACAAAAAACTAATTTACACGCAATATTATATTTGACATCTTCTAAAACTCATTCACGCACGCACCAACTACATTGAGATTATTTCTGTTGGTTACAAAGAACTGTAACTGCCGTTATAATAGGTGAAAATAACATTCGAAAATTATGTCTTTGGTTTTCAGCATAGACTTCTTGTCGAATGTTATTTTCTTTACGTTTATTTTTCGCCATCGTCGCATAAACTTCAACAGTTACATACGATATCTATACTGTATACCTTGATTTTTTTTTGTGAAAATGTTTAGTAGTTTATATAATTATTAATCATGTTCTTACTCAGCTATGTTTTCGTGACTGTTTTTTTATAATTCCTATTGAATATCAATTTTTACCGTATGAATAATGATTTTACGACAAAATGGTTTTATTTTATTAATGGACCTGCAAGGGATTGATTTGTAGAAAAATGTTTGAATTGATTCATTAAAAATAAGTGGAAAAGAAATTTGGCTGAATATTTAGCTATTGTTGTAAAAGCAAACTAACCAAATTTTTCTCAACAATCTTGAGGGCTTGCAAATGCTTCCAAGATCGATCGATATGTGATAATTTTGGCGTTTATTATTTACAAATATTGAAAAAACGATTTTTATGGTAAAATCTGTATAAATATAATCCTTTAAGTTTTTCACCGTAGACTTTTATAGCATTCATAAAGCTCATTTCACTAACATTCATTTTCTTTCTCGCAATCTCTCTCTCATTTCAATTTTCCAAATTATGTAAATGATATGTCCCTGATTTCACGTTATAGTTTTTTCTAAAAAACAAACATGAACTATCGATTGGTTTTCTTTTGTCCCTACATCGTTCATATAATCATACAAATACAAACGATTACCTATAATTATTATATACAGGTAGATATATAATATATTTCATCGAAACATTTAAAAACGCAAGCTCGTATAAGAGGTCCATCTGTGTTTCGTATATCACAGTGGTGTGTCGTCGATGGATTTACTTTAATTTATTTTAATTTTTTTCTCCAATTTAACAAATTGTTCACTCTCGTCTTTAACTCTTTTTCGTTTTGTTTTAATTCTGTCTTTATACAATTTACTCTCGTAGCTGTGACGGCTACTTGCCGCCGGCACTGCCAACGCTGCTGTTGGGCGACAGCAGCTGCTGGGGACTGCCGTTGAGGCTGCCCGAGTCGTAGCCGCTGCCACCGCTGTTGTTGTTGCAACTCGGCGGCAGCATAAATGGATGATGATGAGAAGGATGATGATGATGATGATGATGGTGATGATGACTCATGTTGAAGGGCGACGAGCCGACGACGAAGTCGCTTAGCCCTGCAACATACCCACTTGGCGTTTTTTGACCTTAACTAATTGCTCATTGAGAAATCTTTTTTTTTTCTCGCTATTTATAATATCTGATATGTACAAAAGCGAGTCGATTATAAAAACAAAAAACAATAACTACCATGCACAATGAAAAAAAAAAAACAAGTACATCGAGTGATAAGAATCAACATATACATACATGTCATCATAAACATCAAGCAGCTGTGCACGAGCAGTGAAGGCAATGCAATGCAGGCGACGGGAGAGATTTAATAACTATTGCTTTTCGTAATTTCTTTTCTTTTTTTTTTTTTTAATTTTTTTTCTTTTTTTTGCGAGATTAGATTAACGATAAGCTAATAGTTATCGATTGAATTTGTTTGTTTATTGAGCCGCCGCAGCCAGATGGTGCTGAGTTGACCAGTGCGGCGGGACCGAGGTAGTCGGCGGTCGGACTACAGGTGCGAATGCGCTGCTACCTTCGGACGTATAGAAAATCCCGTACTGTTCGTGCGCTAAAACCATAAGAACAAAAACGTAAAAATCAACGAACGCAAGAGAGAGAGAGAGACGTTGGTGAAGAGAGTGAGAAAAAATAAAAGCTGCGGTGCTGTTGCTGCATCTCCAGTGTCTTGTGCATTTCGAGTCTTGTGCGTGTGATATCATATAAGCGTGTGTGTGTGTGCGGTTAAAAGTCAGGCAGAAAATAACTAAATATCATTATATCATTGGACAAAGTGTTGAGCTGCGTGTGTGGTTGGAAGCTGTGTATAGTATTGCTGTGGTGTGACCGTGTGATAAAGCTGGTTGTCGTGGCACGGCACGCCGCCGCCGTAACTCTGATAGTAGCTCGTCGCAGCGACGGCCTGCGCCTCTATCAAGCTACTGTCAGAGTCCGATATGTAATTGTGTGCTTGTTGTTGTAGCTGTTGTTGTGGATTGTGCTGTGCCAAAAAGTGCTCGTACGACTGCACGTCTTCGTAGCAGCCCGACTGATTTAAATCTTCCGAATAATAATAATTGTAGTACTCTTCGTCTGAGGACTTACGAGACGTGTAGAGGGTCGGGCTGCCCGCGTACGGATTGCTGCCCACGGAGTAGCTGCTGGCGCTGTGGCTGTGGGGCGTGCTCGCGGCCGAGCCACCACCGCCACCGCCACCACCTCCGCAGTAGCCGTTGGAGCCTCCGTTGTTGCTGTTGTTGCTGTTGTTGTGGCCCCGGGGACTGGCGCTGCTGCTCTGGCGATGATACGCCTCGGCAGGTGGCGCACCGGCGCTCCCGTTGCTGCTGTTGCTGGTGTTGCCACCCGAGCTGCCGCCGCCGCCAGCGCTACCCGGTGCATTCTGGGCCGACTGCTGCGTGCCGTCTAAAAATAATAACCTGTCGGTTAGTTCTTGGCTGTTCAGACGATGATTCCTCGTCGTCGTCGTCGTCGCCGTTGTATTCGTTGTGGAATAATCATAATGCTGCTGTTGTTGCTGTTGCTGCTGCTGTTGCTGTTGCTGCGACGACGACGACGACGACGCGGCGTAATACAACTGGCAATCGATAAACTGACAACAAAAGTTATTGTTAAACGAACCGTCGGTCCATTTGGATGACGCGCCGTTCTCCTGCACGGTCACGGCGAGCTGGCCCGAGTACGAGTTGAAGGCCGTCGCCCCGGAGGTCGTCGAGGTCGGCGGCTGCGACTGCACCGCCGAGGAGTGGCCGACGTTCGAGCCCGGACTGCGCGGCGGTGGCACCGGACCGCGGCCGCCCACGCCGTACAGAGCCTCGGCTAGGTCAGCAGCGCGCTTCAGTATGATCTCCTTGGGCAGCTTGTCGGGGTCGCCCGGATGGCGCGGTATGGCCTTCTGGAGGCGCTCGAAGCCGTAGGCGATCGTCGGCTCTGTCAGTGCTGTAACGACAAATTCATTGATGATTAAAGCATGATTTTCGTTGTTATTGTTGTTGTATGTGCCGTCGTTCGATCTTTGCGTAAACTTACACACGTATACGAAGCGTCCCGGTGCTCCCTTGCAGAACTGCTTGCCCTTGTACGACAATATGACCTCCACGACGCCGGGTATCTGTCTGGGTGGCGTCTGAACCCTCATCGCGTGTGGCGTAATTAGCTGCGATACAAAAAAAATGAGATGAAATAAAAAATAAAAAAAATGTATGCATCGCTCGCAGCTCGCTTTAATTGGTTTCCGCGGAGCTTATCTCTCTTACCTCGCTCCAGACCAGCACGGTGCCGAAGACGACTTGAAGCCCGTCGAAGAAGTTATCGCCAATTATGACGACGGTCGAGCCGCCCGATGTCCAACCCTCGCTCGGCGACATGGCCTTTATGCAGGGCGAAGCCATTTGCAGGGGTGGATACAGCCCCGCTGCGAAAGATAGAGAGACGGATACAGAATTAGTCAGTTAGTTATACGTATAATATCACGCGAGTGCATGCGTATTCAAATTGATGATACTATTTTTTTTTTGTTGGTTTTGTTTCGTCGCTCGCGAAACAAACGAATCCCGGCAATAATTCACGCCGGGTACACAGTTTACGTTATATAAAATTAGCCATCCGAAACTCGATATAATAATAGCTCGAGCGCGCACACGTGTATATCCTCGTTCGTATGTGCGCGCACGAGCTCTTGGCGAAATTCGATGTAATATATCGCGCGCGCTCGCACCCGAGAGCACGCGAGCGTCGAGGTGAAATTATCCGAATATTCTGTTTGCGTATTATCGGAAAGCTCGAGCCCGGCATATATACACTCACAATGCCTCTCTCTCTCTCTAGTATGTGCTCAGCCACAGAGAGCCGTACATTTTATTCTCACTCGACTCGCGAGTTGGCTGCGCGAAAAGAGAGCTTTACTCTCTCTCTCTCTCTCTCTCTCTCTCGCTCCGAGTGCGGCACGGTGGTAGATGGTATAGCTATGTATATAGCAGCAGTAGTGTAGGGCTCGATCGGTGGTGTCTCCGCTTGGAATTTATAACCCAATGATATCATTTTGTATACACCACCCTCTCTCTCCATCGACGAGCAGCGAGGCGGCGGCAGTAGCAACTCCAAGGGGTTGCTTCTCTACGCGCGCCTACTATTATACGCCGCCGCGTACGGTAGAAGGTATACGTACACGTGAACGCGAGCGAGCCTGAATTCGAATGAGGGCGGAGATAGAAAGAGAGAGAGAAGGTTGAGGGGTTGCGAGAGAGAGAGAAAAGCTAAAGGTAAGAATTCGAGCATGAAAGAGTAACGAAGATGGCTGGAAATTTATACATGCGGATGCTTTTTTGCCTCTCTCTCTCTCTCTCTCTCTCTCTCTCTCTCTTTCTCTCGCTTTTCTATTTTTCCCTTTCACTCTATCGCGAGTGTATATAGGTGTGTGCGCGTACATGTACGCGTGTGCGAGGCCTCGAGTTCTCTCTGCATGCTGAAGAAAGAAAGAGAGAGAAAAAAGAATGGAGAATCGCATACGATTTGTATGGTAATATCGTGTTCTTTCTCTAGCGCACTCTTACGCCCGTGTAACCGTGTGCGAAATTACATTATTTGAGAGCTCATTCTATTTCCTCGATGTTTGATTTTTTCCCTTTTCTTTCTTTTTTTTTTTTTGTTCGCTTATCTTCATTATTTCGGTGTACAGTACGTCGGTATTATATACGGTTATATAAAAATGTCGCCGACGAGCAAGCTCGCGAGCCTCGTAGTATAATACGGCGCGCGCGCGGCCTTTTAGTTCGAAGAAAAAGTGATTAATATACGCGTAGCGAAAAAAAAGAAGGGAAGCGGCCGGTGGCAGTGGTGGTGGCAGTAGGACGAATGAACGAGCGAACAAAAAAAAAGCAAGCCGAGAAGCGACTGGAAAGGTACTCGCGGAAAAATGAACAAGTCAAATTAAACGAGAGCGAGTCGTCGTATATAGGCGAGCTTTGCGCGCGCGCGAGAACAAAAGAGGGTAGAAAAAAACACAAGCTTTAGGATAGAGCGCGGGATAAAGGGCAAGGAGGAAGAGAGAGAGAGAGAGAGAGAGGGAAAGGAAAAATCAACTGAAAACTGTGCGCGGCAGGGTAGAAGGCAAAAAGCGGGCGTCGAATAATCAGTATAGAGGCAAAGCCGAGAGTTTTTAAAACCACGGAGTGGGTGAACGAGAGAGAGAGAGAGAGAGAAAAAAAAAGCTAGGAGAGCCGTTGTGCTTTGACGCTGTGGTGCTATAGCAATGTCGGAGCTGACATTATGGTATATGATTTTCTCTCTCTCTTTCATCCTCCTAAAACTTTTCTTCGTGTATTTACGCAGCTGAATCTAATAAATCTTTTTAAAATTGCTTCATCGTGCACAAATCGTTTTATTGAGGAGGTATAAACAGAAGCCAGATGTGCTCGAATGCTAATTTTTGAATACAATATTGGCCACTTTCACTGCATTCATTTTCAACCGCGACACTACATACATGAATGACTGGCACTTTTTGGCCTATAAGATTCATTAATCTTTTTAGAATAGTATCAAGTGAAATTATCGGGAAATCCATGTTTGACAATGTTCATTTTGGATTCTTTGTGCACGACAATTTCTTTTGGAACTGTAATAGCATTTGCTCTCTCTCTCCTTTTTTCTTGTTCTTTCGGGTAAAAATTCAAGAGCCTCGCAAATTCGACCTAACGTATCTCCACTTCGAGCATCTTCAGCGTTATAATAATGGCCTTTTTCTTAGAAGTCAATATTAACCCGCGTAGAATTTTCGACTCGAGCTTCGCAGATATATAGGCGCGCACACACACACGCCCTTAGCCGAACAGTCCGAAGCCGAATCAGCGGAAAATTTTTTGCCCACTGCAGAAGGAGCCCGAAATTTTCGCAACGCCAAAGTCCGTTATTATTACTGTATACACGCAAGGCTGTGAAGCGGCCGAAATTAAGTATACGATCCTCGCCGAAGCTCGACTTGCTTTTTGCCTATATAGGCAAGTCTCTCTCTTTCGTTCTCTTATTCTCGGCAGAGCGTTACGGGTCATGATTCTAGGCGACTAGAACATAAGTCAGCACGAAAGTCGCTCCTCGTAGCTATTAAGTTCCTTGCCTCTGCTCACACACTCGCACACGTACACACGGATGGAAAAGCGCCTACCGGATTAAAGACGGGACTATAAGGTTTATGGCTGTATGTATGTGTGTGCGTTTGTATTATATGACGGCGCAAGGACGGGGATGCTAAACATATCCTCGTTTTACAATTAAATTGCTTCCATCAGCGAGGAACGAACGAGTCGCTGTTCGAGTATATCTTCTTGTAGAACCAAGAAGCAAACGCGCGCACACACATACGCGGGATAACGAGCTCGCGCGTACATGCATGTGTGTAACTGCGTCCGGAGAGAGAGAGAGAGAGAGAGAGAGAGAGAAAGCCTTTCTTTGTATAATCGAAAAAAAAGGCTCGGGTGTGCGCGCGCGCGAATTAGGAGCCATGGTTTTATATATGAGTGCGAGGGTGCGAGAATAAGCTATAGTCCGATATCCGTACGAGAGTCCGAGCTGGCTAAGGCTAAGGATCTTCGAGAACGGAGTCGTGCACACGGATGCCGAGGCATTTTCTCGTTCTCCCCCTCATTGATTTACATCTTGTCTAGCACTCTCGTAGACTCAGAAAGAGAGAGAGAGAGAGAGAGAGAAAGAAAGGAAAAAAGACGTGAAGGGTATCACGCTTTCTACTTTCTTCTTTTCTTTCCGTTGCACGAGTGTGTGTGCGCTGTTTGTGCGAAATAAGTATGTGAGCGATTCCACAATTAATGAAAGGAAGCTGGATTCAATTTCTTTTGCATTGAATGCTTGTTATGTATACTTGTTTAGGTTTTACAGATATTCATAATATAGAACATGAAAAATCCCTATAAAAACGTTGATTGTTCATATATTTATGTTCATTTAAAAGAAACTTTTTTAATAACGAAAATCATTATGAATGATGTTTTTTTGTTCATTATCATTATGATGAAGATTTTTTATTTACATTGTACATGAAAAAAAAACATAACATTTCCTTCGATGAAAATTAATTAACATTTAAGGAAAAAAATAATTATTCAATCAACAAATGGACTTTTTCATGTTTTGAACCGCGCGGTTTATCATCAAATTTTTTGATTAAATTACATACATAAAATTTTAAAAGAAGTGAAATGACGAATTCTCGTGGACAAAAAAAATATCATGCAACTTCAATTTTTACTAATATAATCGCATTTTAAATGACATTCAATCGAAATGTGTTGAGGTTTTTTTTTGTTTTGTGCCGTTTGAAAAAATCGAGTAGGAACAGTGCGGACATGTAAAACACTTTCAAATTTCAAATTAACGTCATGTATAATTAATTTTTACACATGAATGAATGCAAAAAATTCCCATAAAAATATTGTTTTTTCACGTTTATTGCTAGAAGACCGATCAACAACGTTCACAGCGAGCGCCCAATGCAAAAATAATTACTCGCTTCTAGCTAAAATCTTTGTAGGTAAATTGTGGAGTTGCTCATATAGACGTACTTTCGGAGTGATATCCAGGCATAAGGGTGAAAGAGAGAGAGAGAGAGAGAGAGAGAGAGAGAGAGAGAGAGAGAGAGGAGGCAAAGACGAGCGGAGCCGTTTGTATGCGAGAGAGCGAGGCCCCGAAACTTTGCTCGATTCTTTATATTCGCGCGCACGCGTGTGCGTCTATGCGAGACGCTCGTTTGAATCACTTCTTTTTTTTTCGGCTTCTTTCCTCGACGCTTTCCACTCCTTCTCTTAATGTACTCGCGAGTTCGATATCATATGATATATATTCTTACCATTGTATTCCGACGGATCGCTCGGATCCAGCCGCTTCGCTCGGCGGCCGTGTTTGCTGTTGTTGTGTACGAACATGTTGTCAGAGATGGCCAGCATTGGTCCATCGACCGTCACCGCAGTGTTGATGATGACCTTGGTAAAAAAAAACGAAGGTATAACAAATCGTCGTTCAATTGATTTAAATTGCAGTGCTTAAAAAATGAATGAGAAAAGGGAATATCTGCGCGTAGTACGATTTGCTTGCTATGCTTTCTTTTGTATAACCAAAGCAGCACGAGATAGGCTTTCGGAGAAAGACGTAAAGTTTAAAAACGAGTATTTTCTCTCTTGTACACTGGAAAGCGAGGGTGAACTTCTTCCCGCGTGTACAAACGACGACGACTCAGAAAAGACCTTGCGATTTTAATTCACAACTTTTAGAACTTTGCAAGGCAATTGACCAATCGTTGAAAATTGCCCTCTGAATAATTTAACATTTTTCAGCTCCGATTTGACTTTTTTTTCAACTCGATCGAAGCGATAGGGACAGCTTTTGTCGTCGTACCGAAAAAAGAATAAAATAAAACAAACCCCTGGTAAGAGTGCAGAAGTCGAATAGCGCTCGAACGAAATAAAATACATCGACTCGCTTCGCCGCCATACTTATCTTGTTTTTTGTCCTCTTTTTTTGTTTTCTCGAGTTTTATCTCCAGCACGCATTATATTAGCGAGCCGTGAGCGCGCGCGCGCGATACTTTTCCGCGTGTAATAAGGGGTGAAAATATCCGGGTGTACAGTATGTATATCGCGGTGGTGGGCGCCCGAGTGGTTTTTTGGCAATTGACTTTTTAATTTGCTCGGTGCTTGCCTCCACCTCGTCGTTCGCTCGCTCGTTGCGTTGCAAAGACACAAAGTGCCACGAGTCTGTACAGAGAGAGAGATATCTCTCCGCGTAGTAATTACATGATTATAAATAAGGGTGCAGCAGTCCTCGACGCGCGGCGCTAATCGTGGCGATAGAACGACATTCTTAGAGATTACAATAAGATATGTTTTTTTGTTCTTCTTCGTGCTATATTGCTTACCTGAAATCTTCGCATGTCCCTGGGGTTTCCGGCGTTCTTCAAGCAGTTTTGATTGCACTTGAGGAAGAATTTTAGGAAAAACCTGTGAACAAAAAGAAAGGGTGCAGATAAGTATTTACAGTCACGGAATTGAATTGATCGTAAGCCCGAAGATGGAATTGTATATCGACAAAGTTTGAGGGAATCGTGAAAGATGGGCGCTCGTCTAATCATTTGCCGACGAGAGCAAGTATACATTTTTATCGCTCAATAGGTAATATATGAGGTAATGGTGACGCCTTAAAATGAATCCGTCGATGTATGAGTGTCTCGGAAAAGAAGTGAAAGTATATAATTTCTGTTATGAACTCATGATATAATATATAAATCATCCAAAAAATGACAAGTTAATAAGAGTACACAATGACACTAAGATAAGATCACAGTTCGTAGAATTTGTTCCAATTGAAGAGTCCGGATCAAACATTTACACTTCATTATATATTATTATTAAAATAAAGTAAAATAAAAATTAATGCTGTTAAAAGTTAAAAAAATAGTGAACAATTTGAGAAAATAATTTTATTTAATGTAAATTATTTAAATTAAAAACAAAGAGTTACCGAGTTTTAAACAATATAATTACTTGAAAAAAATATCTCTGAAAATTGAAGACAATTTTCAATCAATAATTTTTTGAAGTAATTATATTGTTTAAAAATTAATGGGCTTTTTAAAGAGATGCCGTAAGTATTATAAAACGATATGGTTTTTCATAAATTTTTTTAAATGTAAAAGTTTACGATTTTCATGTTTTTTTGCAACATGAAATATTAAATTAATCAACAGAATTTTTTAATTAAGAATGAATAATTAACTTTAAAAAACATTGGTTTTTAATCATTTGTTTATGTAAAACTGTTTAAAAAATATTCCGATAATATTATTGCTTGGCAACCAGAAAATTCGAGTGCGCACTAGAAAATTCCGTTTGAATAGTTGTAGATACGGGGGCCTGCATTTTTCCTTCTATTGTGCGGCGGTAATATATTCGTCACAGCATGGGTCGCGCCATGTACGCTGGCATGCCATAAGACTCCTACTACGTATTCATTAACAAGCGTATTGTCGCCTCGGCGCAATGGCCCAAAATTGATCATTGACGCATCTCTATATACTTTCACTCGCTTAGTTCTCGTCCGCTCGACGAACGCAGCAGAGCGTGTACGGCCACGAGATATAAAGAAGCCACGACTAGAGTGATTCAGGCAGTTCGATCTCGACATTCGAAGCTATCGTACACGTTTGGCGCTAACAGCTAGAAAAATGGACGTCGCTACTAATCAGAGCTTCGCAGGGCAGAGTCATGAAAATAGGTTAGGATTTTATTCATCTTATTTACATTAAACTATATTATAAATAGATTGCTTTAATTTTCTGAATAATAATTCGTTATTTTTATGTTTTACAGCACGGAGAAGAAAATGGCACCGAACTCCCGGCCGAAAACTTTCTCGAAATATCGACGAGCAAGAGTAACGACGAGGCCGTATCCAGAAACGAAAAGCGGCGACGATATCAAACCGAACAGCTGCGCGTGTGACAGCGACGGCGAACGGCGCAACAGCAGCAGCGACGGCGAACGGCGCAACAGCAGCAGCGACGACGCTGATTTCGAACGATCGAGCAACGATCATTCGTCGACATCAACGCCGGCAAAATATTTATCGAAAACATCTGCCTTTAGACTTAGATTGGGCGTTTATTTCAACGCATTGGACAGAGAGAGGCTCGCGAGAGACGTACGCAAGAGCGAGATCTGTAAACAGTTTGCACTGGCGGAATACTTTGTATGAAAGCGTAATTGTGCACCTCGAATCGTATTTGATAATTGTAATATTTTGAGCTTGAGTGAGTATAAGCGAGATCTATAAACAGTTTACGCTGGCAGAATACTTTGTATGAAAACGTAATTGAACACCTCGAATCGTATTTGATAATTGTAATATTTTGAGCTTGAGTGAGAATTACATGGTTGAAATGTCATTTCACACTAGTTACCTGACAATGGGACATGAAAAAGAGGCCTAGTCGACGGCCTCTCAAATTGACGCCTGAATTTTTTTCAGGTTATCGCTGCTAAAAGCGGTAGCATACAACAAATCGATCATAAGTTATATAAATATGAATGATTTTCTATAAGTTCTGTTACGTAGGATAATATATTTATGTAAAATAATTGATTTATCGGTATTATATCCTCAATAAAAGAACTTTTGTCTGAGTTTCCGGCTTAGACGTCAATCTTAAATCGTTCCTTTCGTTTTTTTAATCAACCTCGTATCTCATATGATAAATTGAACATTTTTTTTGTCACGCGCGAGTTTCGAGTATCAGCAGATTATATGGGTAGAGAATTCAATTTCTTGTACCTTCTCAGGCTCCATAGCTTTAATGAGATATGCTTGTACTCGTATTCTCTAGATTGTCTCTTATTGTCTATTGCTGTTATTTTAACCCCGTGTTATACGCGAGCCTTATAGATATATAATGTATAGATATATAATGTAAGATCAAATTACATATAGATGAATTTTTGGTGATGATTGTAAAAATTGGAAAGTACACTTTCCAAGAATGTCACTTCCGCTGTGTCTCATATGCCATATGTTCTTTTAAATTTATGCATGTACTAATACATAAATGATCAATGACGCAGCAATTATTTTTTCTAAACTTACAGACATTTCATTCTTTTCGCTTTCATCGGGGTTTCCCTGTTTAGAAATCTGAATAGATGTGGTCGAATTCACATACAACGGAAATTTACCAATGGCACTGAAAATTTTGCTATTGCGGCCAAAGACGACAGTCGAACGAGCTCTTAAAATTTAAGCGTATTACGGTCGCGTTTTTTTAATTTGCACATTTATTAAATATCTTTAAAAGTACAGATAGTAGCTTTACGATGGGAAAGAAAAGAAAAAAAATTGCATTACGATCGATTCAAATGCGTGCTTCATTTAGTTTTTCTTGGGTGTACTTGTCGTATATAAGAGTGCGAAACTTTATTTGAAAGCTGTGTAAGTGTGTTTGTCTGTGTGTGCGAGCGCGCGCGCATGATTGGTCCGAATCTGCAGTTGCGCGCGATTTGCGCTCAACATGGGACGGAACCCCCACCATCAATACTTGGCAAACTGCAGCCAAGTCAATATACCGGCGGCGTCGGCCATTATTTAAGTGGGAAAACTTAAATGTGGCGTTTGCTTAAATGTTTATATTTGTAAGTCATTAGTAATTTTAATTTCAACTTGATTAGTTGGCGCGCGCGAGCGCGCTTCATATCACTAGTTTATAGAAAAATCCAAAATTATTTTATTAGAATTTTTATAAATTTATTTTCACAATTTTGAATGACGCACTTTCGGCTGCGACCGCTCAGTGGCAGCACAATCAAACACATACTCGGGGAGCTGGCTATATCCTACGCTTTATAATATGATCTTAGTGAAAGTATTTCCAAAATATATCAGTCTTCAGTTGGTCTCCAAAGCAGAAGCATCGCGTCCCTCGTAATCTCTTGTACGTTTGAGTAACCCGCTGCTAGTTCGTTTTAACTGCTCGTTTTAACCATGAGTCAATATTTGAATTGCAATATTCTTGAGTACGGATCGAACGCGAATATCGATAGCCAGGATGTTCAAGGCCGTACTGCTCTGATGCGTGCAGCAGAAAGATCTGACTGGTGTTTAGTTGATCTTATTCTTTCGCACGGTGCCAACATCGACATCGCCGATAACAATGGAATGACAGCTCTATCTTTAGCTGCCGATCAATGGTACGAATATGGATGCGCCGAGGTAAGAATTGCTATATTTATCACTGTTAACAATTAAAAAATTAGTTCTTTGCGATTTCGTATGAAATTTGTACAGCGGAGATCGTCTGCGCTATCTCCATACATCAGACTAATATATTGCAACGTTGTTGGCTCTTCAGCGCGTGCGAGTGAGTGCATAACCCTAGTATGCGTACTCGGTGAGTGAGAGGGGTACGATCACACGACGCGCGCGCGTAAATGAGAATTACTGCTTCAATTGCTTCGCGAGCAATTATTACATGTCCGTCTTTACGTTTTACCAATGTGAAATTTGCTCGAGATACTACTCGGCAATTTACTAGACTTACCGCCGTTGCTATAATTCGAGCCACGGTAGGTCTTTGATTTGACCTCTGACGCGCCTGAAAGTGAGTCTAAGAATTTTATAGGTGCGTACAGAATTGAGTTCGAGTCTTTTGGGACGAATTTGTATTGTAAATTTGTTGTATTTTTTATTCAATGTCAGAAATATTAATGAAGTATTTTATTTTATTTATTAAGAGAATAAATCTGTAAACTTGACTTTCAATTATACAGTAAACTAGAGTACAATCAAGAATATTAACTAGGCACGTCGTCTTTTTTACACACGCAGAGTTTGAGCAAACGGCGCACAATGTGAATCGACTTTGCGACCACGGAATAATTTCGACTAACCCGGGTTAACAAGATGATCGTTACCGATATTTAATTTTGTATAAACTGCGTGCTGCTGCTGCTGGGCTCTGCTACTGCTGCTTGGCTCTGCTGGGCTGTCCCTCACACCACACGTACGTTGGAGTTGCTGGTTAGCTGTCGAGCTGTTGAAGCTGAACCGAAACCTATAATACGCGCACAAAAACCAGAAAGAAGATGCGAAAAGAACACTATAACTCGCGACTTATGATTTGATGAGAGGAAGGAAAGGAAGGATGTTCTTATTTTTTAATAAGATTCATCCGCGCTAGTCCTATACCCTTTGACTTGTGTAACTGGGATCGAATACCCGGGGGGTATGTTCCCACAGTCGAACGGTGTATAAGGCCTTGACGCACGATTCACGCACTCGTACACTGGGTCAGTGGCAGCGGTGAATTATCGTTTAGGATAGGTTATTAAGTATTCTTAGCCACCAAGAGGTGAATGGCTAAGGAAATTTGATAATGAATAATTACTGTGGTTAAGTATTATTCAATTATCAAAAAACTGGCTCAATTGGGTCAGTGCAGCGCTTTAAATAGGCCTAGTTCGAGCGCTCGAAATGCGCTCTCTCGCATCGTCGCGCCGGCGAAATTCCCACTCATTTTCGGAAACTCGCCGCGCGTGTCTATTATCTGATAAGAAAGAGAGAGACCGAAGATTCTCTCTCCGCGCTCATTGTCTCCTAGGAGGCTGGATGGGGGTCGCTGGACCGCTCTCTCATTGCGTCGCTGCGGCCGCGTCTCTCGTGCAGTCTGCGTGGGGACCTGCAGGATGGTCCTTTAAACGTGAATCTATCGACGCGAGGGGAAACGCGAGTGCGTCGGTTCACTTCTCCTCTCTCCGCTCGGCGAGTACTCGCTTACACATGCGTGCTCAGCTGGCATAGTTGCCATCTTACCAGGCGCGAAAGGTCGCATACGTTGCATTAGCCCCCTTTGGATCCTATGTTAATTTTCTTCTTTTCTTACGGGAAATTAACTAGGATTCATCAAATGAGAAAACAACGTATAAGGTTATGCTGGACTTCAATTTGAGCCCAACACTAAAAATTGTGTTCATTTATTGATCATCAAATAAGGAAACTTCTTTTCTTTTTCTTTTATAACGATGAAAATTAATAATTATGGGACGACTCTGCCGCAATTAATCGATAAGACTTGCGCCATAATATCCCGAATCCGTCGTATAACCTGATTCATCATTGTGAATCGATCTGTGGGATTCATTATCGGCGAATACAACAGTGCTTGAGTCAGAAGAACTCGAAGACTTGCCGTTCCGACGTCGCCATTGTTCTTGATGTAAACCATCGATTATTTTCTTTCTTGTATCGTTGGCAATGTACTCTGTTAGACTGATGTCCGACACATCAGAGTACTCTTCGATTGTAGTTGTTGACGGCGGCGTTGGGAAAAGCCTTGTATTCACCTTGACTCCTCGCTGTTGCTCAATGAGACGTGGCAGTTGAGAAAGTGAGGCCAGACGTGGTTCTTTGGCTTCATCATCTGTCACGCGTAGAGCTGCAGCGATCACATCATTTGACCACCGAAGAAATCTCATTCGGCGCATCTGCTCTTCGTCGTCGGCTGAGGTTGCTTCATCGTTGCGCTGATCATGTAGTCGGCTTCTAGAGTTCGACTGCATAATCAGCGTGTCGTCTTCACAATCAGCTCTGTCTACGATGTCGATCGTTATGCGTAGATTCGATCGAGGCGTTGACATGTTTCTAGCTGTAACAAGTATCAAACGGCGAAGTTAATATAATTACTATGTTAACAAAATTTTTTTAATTTCTTATCATGTTATATCTTATACTAATTCATTACTACTCTGAATCGATGCTTGAGGCGTCAAACTCGATGACATCTTCAGGTATCGGCTCTCTAGTTTTTCTTTGCTTTGGCCTGTGTGTTTTCTGTGCGGCCAGAATCTTTTCAATTTTCTTTTGGATCTCAGCGATCTCTCTCACCAACGGCAGGAGTTGTGGTAGCAGCAGATTTGAATTTGCTTTCACCTTGTTCAGCTGGGCCGGTGTGAGGTTTTTTTCGAGGATTATCCAGATCTGTTTTCTCGTTCTCGGATTCCTCGGGATAATAGCAAGGCCTTGTTTCTTTGCCTCCTCTATCCTCTTTTGCCTCCGCTCGTTCCGTTGATGGGTAGTTAATCGGCCCATCTGTAAAATAAGGTTTCAACGATGATGCATGATATCGTCCTCTTACTTTACCGGTATGTGGTTGCTTGAGTTCGTAAGCACCGATCGATACTTTTTTTTCAATCATGTACGGCCCTTCATACCAGCTTAATAATTTAGCAACTGTCTGTTTCGCAGACGATGCTACTCGGAGTGCTTTCACAAGAACGAGTTCACCTGTACGAAATTCCGTGATTTTCGCATGTTGATTGTGTCTTGCTGCTCTTCGATTACCGATGTACTTCATCCGCTCACGCGCTTTTTTTATTGCTTGGTCGTGTCTGAATTTTCTTCGTCGAGATTTCACGATATGCTTCCAAATGCGTGCGGGCTCAAATTTCGATAAATTAACTGTTACTCCCTCTCTTTCGATTCGAGTGAACAGTTCATCAATGTCTTTTAAATGTTCATCGATATTTGGCGAGACGATAAGCCAATCATCCACGAATGCGATGACTTTGTTCTCAAGTCCCTGCAATACGTGTTCGTCTGCACGGTTTAATGCAGAGCTGGATATCTTGAGTCCAAAAGGTACTACAGTGTATTGGTACGTCTTGCC